TTCACTACTTTAACTTTTTCGTCCTCTTCGAATTGCGTTTCTGATTTTCGTCCTGTATGTTTGAAAAAAAGGTTACACAAAGGTCCTTTTCATACATAAGGGACGAAATTGGAACATTTTTTTTTGCAAAACATAAGGACATTTTTGTTGCGCAAAGGACCTTTTTGTAACCTTTTTTTAAACATACAGGACAAAAATCAAAACACAATTCGAAGAGGACGAAAAAGTTAAAATAGTGAAACATACATGACTAAAATTGTAATTTACTCTAATAATTATGCAATTGTACTAAAGTGTAAGTGTATCCTAGAGGTAAAAAAAAAACCCTAAATTATTCTAAATATAAATTTATTATCGAAAAAAATAGTAAATAGTCGAAATAAATAAAAATAGTTGTCCGATCCATATTGTTCGATAACAATTTATTATCTAGACCACATTATTTACATTTTATAATGAAATTAAGAAAAAAAAATGTATTGTACGTATGTATAAAGCAAGTGAATCCCAAAGGGGTGACCTGAGAACACAAATAGATCGAGAAACTCGATTAATTTTGTTCAATCTACGTGTGTTCTCAGTCTCACTCCTCTGGGGTTGCCCTTGCCACGTGGACCAATCACAACAATTCTTTCTTATTATCCTGGTTGAATAAGGCTTGGCTGTATTTGAATTTGAAAAAATGGCTATAGATTGGAATTGAAAATGGAGAGATTTATGTGTCTCATATTTCCAATTTATGAAGGTGTTAAATGATTGAAACTTTGCTTAGGATGTTGTCATTCTGTTGTGATGGTGGTACCAGATTTTGCCATTGGCAGAGGGACATATTTGGAAATTCACTTTGACATATAATAAATTGACCTCTTCACACAAGAAAATAAAAAATAAAAAATTATAACTAACTTATAACAACCAACTAAAAACTCCTAACTACCACACAAGAACAAGTTCCTCCACACAAATCCCCCTTTTTACCTCTCACCATTTCACTATTTCTTCTTCCCACATTTTCCTCACTCACAACACATTATCTTCTCAATCCTTTTTCCCCTTAATCCTTTTTTGAATTTGCAAATAAAAAAAAATGGATTTCCTCTCAAACCTATCAAAAAAGGATGAGTCGAAGCACAATCCAAACGACGCAACAGCCGAGCCGGACCAAATCAAGCCCACGAAGTCGGATCTCATCCACAGCGCCAAGGTGATGGCTGACGTGGCGCAGGCCCACCTCCGACACGAGCCGAATAAGTACAACGAAGCTGAGGTGGCGAATGCGACTGCCGATCTCCTCAACTCTGCCGCCGAGTATGGAAAGTTGGACGAAAAAGGGATCGGAAAATATGTCGACAAGGCCGAAGGGTATCTCCGCCACTACCATAGCTCCGGCGAACACGATGCGGCTGGAGGCGGTGGTGGTAAAACGGAGGGCGACTTTGCAAATAAATAAGTATTTTTTATATGGATAAAATTATATTTAAGCATTTTTTTTTTTTCATTGTGATGGTGGGTAGGTATATAAAGTGGGACGATTTGGTTGTGTGCTAAGCAAACACATAAAAGATTGTGTGTGATGAAACACATTAATCAAATCGTGATCAAATTTAGTTTTCTTTATTTATAATTTGTAGGATATATTATAAACATCAAATTATTTATTCCTATTCGAATAGAACATTAAATCGAATTGAAGTGAAGATTCAACATTAATCCATTCAAATTTATTCATATTCATGTTCAGATTCTTATTAATTTTGAACACAAAATATTATTTTTATTCAAATTCGAAGAAAGGAATAGTTGATCTAACCGTTACAAATCCCGACAGAATGGTACCGCAACGGGACCATAGTATTTTGCAAGAGGGTAATCAAAACATGACACCACCACACAAATTAAGAAGCCAACACAAAACATTTTTCAACCAAAATAAATAATTAAATAAATAAACCTTGACAAAACACAAGTATATGTACACAATGGAGAAAAAACTGCCACCACCTTAACTATTTGCCCCTCTCAAGAATGAGCCGGAGCTTCTCCGTCCCCTCCTCCCGGTCGGCCAGCACTTCGAGCACCATCCCTTCCCCGAAACCGTTCTTCTCCGCAATCCTCAGCCACGGCTTCCCCACCGCGTAGCAATACGAGGTGGGGCCCGACTGAGTCAGCCTCACGTTCCCGTCATGCGAGTCACCCGCCGGGTCGACCAGCTTAGCCCCAACCGGTTCTCCTCTCTCGAGTGTCTCAATCTCGTTTTCCCTGAAAACCTTGTCGAGACTCGACTTCATCACTTGCTTGCACGGCAAGGAAAGCCGGTGTTGCTTCTTGTTGAGGTCCGATGGCCGGAGCACTCGCCTCGCGAACAAAACCAGGCCGTCGTGTAATTGGGTGGTATCCGTACTCACGGTGCTTTGCGGGCTCGGGGAATTAATATCTGGTGCGGCAGCGGACCGCAGTTTCTTGCCGGGGGGAGTAGTGGTGGCCGTGTCGTCGGTTATTTCGTTTGATGTTCCTTCGGTTTGGCCGTTGTTTTGTTGTACGGAGGCTGCGGGATTTTGTTGTTCTTCTTCTGCGTAGTTAAGGTAGTATTGTTCGAATGAAGTGTCCGAATCGTAATTCGGGTCGCGGTACGTGGGCAAGGGAAGAACTCTAGAGTGTGACGACGCCATGAAATTTTTTTCTTTCTTCAGGTTTGGTATGAAGAAATTGTTGTCTTGGAGGGTTTGTGCATATATGGAACAATAGAAATAGGTTTACATACATACAAGGATTAGGAAGAAGGGAATAAGGAAAGTGATGATCGAGTCCAATATTCAGAGTAATTCATAATTAAACTTACATACATACAAGGATTAGGAATAAAGGATGTGTTTATTTATGTATATTTACCATATTTACCATAAAATCACAAATTTTCACTGCTCAATCAGTTATATATAAATTTTTTCATGTTAAAATCAACCATGTATGCATGTACAGATACAGAGCAAGAATTACAACTAAACTAAAAAAAATAGTAATAAAGGAGACTGTATATATATACAGATTTCAAAAACAAAAGCATGATGCTGGAAGTTTTCCTGTTAGTCGAATTTTATCGGACTTTTCCTTCACTTTCCGCTCCTCCTTTTCGCGATTAGCCTCCGCACGTGCCCTGGCCTCCCCTGCAATTTCCTCGATTCTTTTGATTGCATTCCAATGGCTTTTTTCGGCTTTTCCTCTGTTACTGTCCGGCTCAGCCTGAAATGTAATAGTATCTTTTTGCTGTCCAAATCTTGATGGTTTTGTTTGTTTAGATTATAAGAAGGTGGTAAAGAGTTAATAAACCTGTCTCCTTTCTAATTTCTGATCCGCATTTCGTTTCTTTTTAATCTCCCAGTTGTCGATTGTAGCCCTCAGCCTCACGAACCTGAAAAAAGAAAATGAGTCTTTTATGTGTGTAGAAATCAAAATGCATTTCAAGAATCGAACAATATATATCGAATCCTTCAAAAGTTACCTCTCTTTTATGCTTGCCATCTCTTCTTTTTCCCAAGCATTAGCCATGGATTCATTAGGTCCAAGCTGCCTCGTCTTACTTTGCCTTGTCGCTGTCTCAAATATTGGCGTACGTTCGGTTTTGGCAAGTGGAGTCTCGGGACTTTTCTCGTCATCATTTGTATTTAAATTCTCGTCTACCGAAGTTTGAGGCCTTCCGAGCTTCTCAAATTCTGAATTCGATGATTTGATGCTACTACTTTCATCTGTGTAATAAGGACTTGTTTTGTTTACATGCATCTTCTCCTTGTCATGGTCTTGTGAGCTTTGCTTTGATGTTTCCTCTGGCATTATGAAATGTCAGCAAAAAAAAATTAAAGTTGGAGTTTAGATCGATATCAATTTAAACACAAAAGTGAAAAAAGAAAAAAAAAAATCTAAATTGGATTTGAGTTTTTGAGTAAGAAATATATATATATAAAAAAAAACTTATCTTACTCGGTAACTTAAATGTTGCTTTACGCGGTGCAGGTTGAAACTCGTTATTTACTGTCTGAGGCCGCATTTTGTTCGAGGGCTTAATTGGGCCGTTGCTCGTTCGATTGTGAAGAGACCGAACGGCGTAAGCGGCAGCTGCAACTGCAGTCGAGTATTCATCGATTTCTGTATCGTAATCATATTCTTGACTCATTTGTTCTACACAGCTTTCTCCTTATGCCCTGATTTCTCTTTCCAAAAGTTCTTTTACCTTGTTTGTTTCAATCAAGCTCTACATTTTTTTCAGAAGGAAGTTAATTACTTAAGGCTCTTGGAGTATATTTGAATGGAAAAAAATAAAATAAAATTGGAGGTAAATTAACTTGTTTAAGAATTTATGAAAAAAGGCTATGAATTTGGTGTATTGGGGGACAAGAAAGGCTTTGGGATATACTTTGCATGAAGATTTTTGTTTTTGCATCTTTGAAATGCTTAGGAAAGGAACTATACTTTTCTTTGTCTTATAATGCTCGCTTTTCAGTTGAATACTTTTTTGGTACATGGACCTTCCGGTTTCTAGATCCATATGAGAACCGACTAATCCGGAATCGAGCCGGGTAGGACCACAAGGGTAGGAAAGCTCTCCTTTAAGAGTTTTAACACTGCTGCATTCCCAGGTTTACTTGATGCTTCTATTGTGGATAGAACAATATATGATCAAGTGGTTTGTCATCATAATTTATAATAATATATAATATACTCGGTTTTGCTATGAAGCCAACAATTGGCTCTATAGTGGAACCAACCTTCTATATACAACAAGTAAACCTACCATATTCTATAATTACTTAAATAACATTAATATAAATTTATTAATATGGTTGGTTTATTTGTTGTATATAGAAGGTTGGCTCCGCTATGGAGCCAATTGTTTACTTTATAACAAGACTGATAATATTAGATTTTTCTTACAAAGCTTATAATTTACCTCTTCTTGAGGGATTTCTAGTTGGTTTATTATTATCTATAACAATAAACGTTATAAATACCAGTGTTCTAAAAGTCGCTAGGCGCCCGCTAGGCGCTCGACCAGCGCCTAGCGCCTAGAGCGCCTTGGCGGGGCCTAGGCGGTGCCTAGTCAGGGCCTAGAAATCAATATTAAATACCTTATTTTTTATTTAGTTTGACCATCTATAAAATAAAACTATCTCAACTTATAATAAATCGACACACCTAAGTCCAAATAATAAAATTAATATATTTTAAAGAAAACACGAAAATAAAATAATGTAATTAATATTTAAAAAATTAAAAAAAATTAAAAAAAACTGAAAAATTACCGCCGAGCCCACCTAGGAGCGCCTAGGTCCGCCTATTCCCGCCTAGGCGCCGCCTAACCGCCTGACCGCCGCGCCCGCCAAGGGTGCCTAGGAGCGCCTAGGGCCGCCTAGGCCCGCCTAGGCGCCGCCTAGCCGCCTGACCGATTTTTTCTGCTGATTTGTGCAAATCTGAGGCGCCCGGGCACCGCCTAGCGCCTAGGCGCCGCCTAGGCCGATTTTTAGAACAGTGATAAATACTTTGATTCTTTATAATCTAATAATTTATATGACATTTTAACAATGTCTTGTTTGTTTATCATTTTAATATCGTATATACTTGATCATCGAAATAATGATTACTTATAATTTTATATTTTTTTACCATTAATGTTTTAAACCCATCAAGGATGACTACTGTTTTAAATTATATTATACTAAATCTATTTTATAATATTTGCTTATATTTATTTGTAACTTGGGACTATTGCATATTAATAAACCAGTATTAAATAAAAAATTTAGGTTCATTTTATATTTACAATATTAACCAATAAACATCTTATTAATTTAGGAATAATTATTTTTTATACATTCAATATGAACGTCACATTGAGTAACATAAAATAAATATTAATTTAATATTATAAATAAAAATAAATAACAAACTAGTAGATATCCTATGCACATGCACATATGTACGTAAAATATATAAGTAATATTTGAGAATTTAATATTAAAATTCTAGATAATTAACATATTACATTTTCAAAAAATTTGATCATTAGGAAAAATAAATTAACAATTTTATTATTATGAATAATTTTTTATTATCATTAGATAATAACAGGTTGATTATAATAATAATAATAATAATAATAATAATAATAATAATTATTCTTATTATTATTATTATTGTTGTTGTTGTTGTTATTACTATTATTATTAAAACATTTATTTATAAGCTTCTAAAGTTGTTTGACTATGCTATTAAAATAATTTACTAATTGCTTTTAATGAAATTTTTTTATGAGATACAAAAAAAAAGATAATATTGATGTTAATATAAATAACTTGAAACAATTGTTTATAATTATGTAATTTATATTTATTGTAAATTATTATTAGTTGGTATT